ACATTCCGTTATGAATACACGGGCTGTTCATGTCTCCTAACAAAACACTCTCGATGTCTTGCCACATCTGAAAGTAAGAAAGTAAAACTAAAAACATTCCGTTATGAATACACGGGCTGTTCATGTCTCCTAACAAAACACTCTCGATGTCTTGCCACATCTGAAAGTAAGAAAGTAAAACTAAAAAAAAGTGGCATAACATTTTAGATAACACGGAGTATGTACAAAGATCTGAAACAAAAACATTAAATTTATTTCCCGGCATTGAGTGTGATAAACGTTGGCAGAGAATTAATTTCATCAGAACCATAGAAACGAAGGAACTGTGTTTTAACAAGAATCGGACTGGTCAGTGGTTAGGGGCGATTGTCTGGTGTTCTGTTTAGTTTAGCTTGGCATGGTCTGATGGTTACGGCACTAGACTCGCAATCTGCGGGTTGCATGCTCGAATCTCATCACCGAACATGCTCGCCCTCTCAGCCTTAGGAGCGTTATAAGTGACGATTAATTCCACTATTCGCTGGTAAAGAGTAACCCAAGAATTGGCGGTAGGTGGTGTTGACTAGCTGCCTTCTTTAGTATGTCAATATATACTATATCAGTACATATATATATATATATGTGTGTGTGTGTGTGTGTATTAATGTATTAAATATATCTAATATATTTAAAAATTAGGTTTGTTTGTTTGAAGTTAAGCGCAAACTACACAATGGGCTATTTGTGCACTGCCCACCACGGGTATCGAAACCCGGTTTCTAGCATTGTAAGTCCGCAGACATACCGCTGTGCCACTGGGTGGAGTGGGATCAAAAATTAGGGATGGCTAGCACAGATAGCCCTTGAGTAACTTGGCGCGAAATTCAACCAACAAACAAGAATTAAATATCATTGGTACTATACCTATATAAACAATAAGTACCACTAATCATCATATGTCTGAATAATAATGGTATTTGGTATTATACCTATATAAACAATAAGTACCATTAATCATCATATGTCTGATTAATAATAACTAAATAAACGTTTATAAATTTGTCAGTATCTACACGCACACACGCATATATATATATATTATTATTATTAGGAGAAAATGACCAGTCCGTGCGTTAAAGTAAACTTCACCACTCTAGAACAATAAACTTATTAAGAGTACCCACTGAAGATACAATACTAGTAATCTTTGTTTAGATGAATTTTTAATGTTAGATTATAGAGATAGATTTTAAAACGTCCAAGAATTAAAGAATTGGTTTGTTCTTGTTCGAGAAGTAATATTTTAATGATCGCACTGTGGAAAATAATATTTAATCTTGAATTCCAGACTCTTTGTTTTATTAGTTCTATAGATGTGTGTGTGTGTGTGTATATACTTTTACAGCGTCAAAGAGCTACATACAGTTCAATAGAACCGCCATGTACTTGATCTGCTCCTCTCTTTGCAAGGCATGAAATAATTGGGTGTGGTTCAGTAGGAGTGAACTTCAGGAGTCTGTTAATCGAACTGGCGCGTTTTAGAACTAGACAAAGTAACGTTTGTTACACTGTTATCTCTTTACCTGGTGTTGTTTACCTATAAATGTATATACTTTAACTGGGCATGCTCACTGACTTGGTATAGTGAATCCTCTATGTGAAAGATGTAACGGAAATTTCGGCTTAGTTAGATTCTTATTTTCTTGCAACATGCTGATCCAGAAAAAAAATATCATTCGCATAAACACTTTTTACAAACAAGCTCAAAGTATGCAATTCATTTAATTGCTAGATGCTAACATATCAGTCAGAAAATAACAGGTGTCACAGGCAGACTGAGACATTTGTCGTGAGCCTAAATACAGACAGGCTTAACAATTGTTAGTGACGTTAGACATGGTCAACGTATTTCAAATTTTTTCATTAATTCTTTTCAAGATGGTTATGCTATATAAGAGCATGGATTCAAATCCTGGGTTAGATATTGTATTTGCTTTCAAAAATTATTTATTTATCTTCCAGTTAAAATAGGGCACGAGTTGACTGTGTGGTGGAACCCTGAATTTTGGAGCTGGCGAATCGGGTTTGAATCCGTGAGATACCACAAAACATTCCCCTCACTTTAAGCTGTGGGTGCGTTATAAGAGTGACAGTCGACCCCTTAACGTAGATAGTGGGTGGTAGGGTGCTGGTGACTGTCGTGGCTTCCCTCTGGTCAGTATTTTAAAATTAGGGACAACGGTATATAGTCTTAGTAGCTTTGTCATAAATACAAAGTACAAATTCATCTAAATTGAATTTTATTTAGCTAAACCTATAAAGAAGAGCACCTTATTTTCCTTTAATTCTTACATAATTAAATTTTGATTTCATCACGGAAATATATTAAGAAATATGCTTCTTCTGAAAGTTAAGTTCTGCTATGGGGGTTAACATGCATAGAGCAACATAACTATCCGTAGCGTAGACAGTTTGATGTTAAGCCCAAATATACATAATGGGCTATCTCTGATCTGCCCACCGTGAATATCGAAACCCGATGTTTAGCGTTATAATCCTTCAGACTTACTGCTAGGCCAAATGAAGCACAAGAAAATATTTTCACTGCTTTTTTAGATTTTACTGAGATATAATATTGTCTTGGTTCTAGCATTTACAGGCTAATGATTTGAATCCCTACTATAAACTCTAAGATTGAAGAAGCTAAACACATTAAATTAGATTTTTATAACGATAATGTATCTAATATCTAGCACGTAAAACCACATGACAGAATTTCACACCATCACTTTCTGCTAACATATGAACTTCACACCGCTTTATTTTACAGACACTTGGTTCTATACCGTTACATCGCTATCCGAATTTCACACCATAACATTTTATCAGTGTTTGGATTTCATACCACAATACTGTACCAACTCTTGGCTTCACACCACGATACCGATATCTGAATTTCACAAAGCAGTATTTGGCTAATGCTTGTATGTCACACTACTACTTTCTAATAACACTTTGTTTCACCACACTTTATTTTACACACTTCATTTCCCACTACATTAAAACACTGACACTTTTTCACCACACTTTAATTTACAGACATTTCATTTCACACCACATTAAAACACTGACACTTTTTCACCACACTTTAATTTACAGACATTTCATTTCACACCACATTAAGATATTGACTCTTTTTTTCACCACACTTTATTATAAAGGCACTTCATTTCACACCACATTAAAACACTGACACTTTTTTCACCACATTTTACTTTACAGACATTTCATTTCACATCACATTAAAATACTGGCATTTTTTTCACCATACTTTATTATACAGGCACTTCATTTCACACCACATTAAGATATTGACACTTTTTTCACCACACTTTATTATACAAGCACTTCATTTCACACCACATTAAAACACTGACACTTTTTCACCACACTTTATTTTACACACATTACTTCATTTCACACCACATTAAAACACTGACACTTTTTCCACCACACTTTATTTTACAGGCACTTCATTACACACCACTTTGTTTCATACCACTAAATTCGATCACTACTTATAATTCAGTCTTTGCTTGTAAACGATCTTATCTTCATTATCCGCGACTAGCAACAATTAATAATATATTTATAGAGATATCAGAGGTGTTAGGTTTTTATCAGGTATATGTAGGAGTTTTTATCATATGTGTTTAGTTTCTATCAGTCGTGTTATGTGTTTTAAAGTGGTGAGGTTTTTTCCAAGTGGGTGTATTTTTATCTGGGGTGTTGAGTTTTTACGGTGCCTTCCGAGTATTCAGGTACGTTGAGTTTTTATCAGGCGTGTTATGTTTTTGTTATTTTTCGGGGGCGTTATCAGGAGTGTTGTGTTTTTCAGACGTATTTAGTGTTAACAGATATGTTGAAGTTTTCAGCCTTTTTCTTCATGAAAAACGTGCATATAAATCATATTACGGTAATGCCAGTATTGCGACTTATCAAAAACAATAGCCCGTAAAAAAAAAAAAAGAGTTTTAAATTACATTTATATTTTCGGGAAATGTTGCCTTATATTTTCCATTAATGTTGCCTTACAAGCACAGTTGATGTTAAAGAGAGCAAATAATTTATTACATGATATGAAACTCATAGAAAATGAGATGATGATGTTTCGAATAAAG